AGGCAGGAAGTGATACTGAGGTCTTAAGACAGAATTTCTTTTTCCCCAGGGAAACCTTAGTTTTTCTCTTAAGCCTTTCAACTGGTTGGATGAGGCCTATCCACATTGTCAAGGAAGTCTACTGATCGTAGATGTTCACCACATCTACAAAATACATTCACAACAACACTTACAGATGAATGTTTGAATAACTGGGTACTATAGCTTAGTTTTGATGCACAAAAACTAAACATCATGGGGCTCATACTTTTACATGTTGGGTCTAAGATTTATAATAAACTAAAGATAATTTAGTAATGGGCTACCCCATTACAAAATAGTGCTCCTCACCTAATTAAAATAGAGATTAAAATAGAATTTGAATCTCTTTTTCAATTCAAGTAGCTTCTAGCACAAAATATTGCTTCAAGTAAGTGTTCAATAGATAATATTGAAAGAACGAGCAACTGAATTATTTAGGTGATATTTTATAAGACTTTCCAGGCATTGAGACCTCTGGCTCCCCTTTTAAATTTAAAATCATTTTGCTCAAGTGACATACAGGTTTTATGAATGAAAAATGGAGAATATCTGCATAAAAATTCTCTTTTTTATATTATTCCTCAGTGATCCTATTTGATAGGAAATAATGCAGATATATATATTTTTGAATTTGTCTAAATTAGACAGACTTAGTTCATAATAATTAGCTCTTATTTTTAACCTTGAAAAATATAACTTCTTTTTCAAAGGAAAAAGAAGATTTGCAAGTTAATCATATTCTCAGAGTTCTGTGATCCAGAAAGGGTTAAGAACCGCAGTGCCACAAGTCTCTCCATCACAGACTGTTTGCTCTGGCTTCTCCAGAAAAAACACAAAGCATCTCCAAAAGAATCTTTCATCTAAATCTCAGGAAGGCCAATGGCATTTTTCTCTACTTTTATTTGCAGTGTTATTCTGCCCTCCTTCTAGCCCAGGGGTGGGCAAACTTTTTGACTCGAGGGCCACAATGAGTTCTTAAACTGGACCGGAGGGCCGGAACAAAAGCATGGATGGAGTGTTTGTGTGAACTAATATAAATTCAAAGTAAACATCATTACATAAAAGGGTACGGTCTTTTTTTTTTTTAGTTTTATTCATTTCAAACGGCCGGATCCGGCCCGCAGGCTGTAGTTTGCCCACGGCTGTTCTAGCCCCTCACGCACATAACCAATTATTCTCCACCTGCCAAACTAGCAAGCGGCTTTACACCTGTATCCGCATGCTTTTCATTACCGGATAAAGAAAAACATTGATGATAATGTAGTTTTCTGCCCATTACCTGTCTCTAATAACATGCTTGTCATCATAATTAGTTTCACCATCCTTGGCTTGCTTTTCTGTCATTTCTTTCCCTTGAGTTCTGTTAATACCAGAAATTGACTGCTACACTATTATTCTGTTCTGTGTAATGGGGCTGACAGCAGAAGTATTCTGCCTTTTTGACAACTGGATATGATTGGTAAAGGTGTGAAGAGGAACTGCTAATACTTCTCAGCTCTATTATATTAACCTGGAAGGCATTCTACCCATGAAATGAATCCAATATTAAACTGCCTGTTTTATGAGTTTTTCTTTAATAAATTTTCTAATCTTTACAATGTTTTCATAGTATCAGTATTTTCTGATCTCTATTTCCTGAGATTAATATGGCAACTTCATTATATGAAAACTGTTTTATTAGATTTTCTTTATTTTTCAGAAAATAGAAAGAGAAGGAAAGACATATCTGTGAGTTTCTCGCCTTTATCCTGTGTTCCTCTCCCAGTTTCTGGCTGATGCTAGGATGATTAAGCAAGGTTTCGCAGAGACATAATCCAAAGACAGTGCTATTGATATGCCATCAAAAAGTCACAAAGTCCGAAAAAAAAAGTCACAAAGTCCAAATAAAAATAAATAAATAAACCCTCTACATGTTGAGGAATTCAGAGATGATCCTGGAGGGCAATAAGCAAAGAAGTCACAAGGTCCAATGTACACTCTAGAAATATTGCTTGGGTAGCCGTAAGATGGACGATGCTGCATTTGTGGAAGGAGGAGAGACTCAATTCAGGAGGCCACTGCAGTGATTGGGGCATAAAGGCCTAGGACAGGGCAGTAGCAGGAGGGATGGAAATGAGAGGAAGATCCGATCACTATTCAGAAGGTAACGCAGCAGGTTGGTAACTAATTGGATGTGAAGGGCAAGAAATAACAACAACTACCACTTAATGAGCACTTCACATGTTTCAGATCATAGGTAGGGCTTTCCTTCATAATCACATGTATCCTTGAAATACCTTGAGGAGTATTATTATCATGTTTTATAGATGAGGAAACCAAAGCATTGTGGGATTAAGTAAATTGTCCAAGGTCATATGCCAATTAAGTGGTAGACCCAGACCAGTCTGACTCCAAGTCCAAACAACTAGCCACTGTGTGACAGGAAGACTCAAGGATATCTCTAGGATTCTCTAGGGGAGGCTGGGAGTCTGACAGTACCACTAAATGAGGAGCAGAATATAGAAAGAGGTGTTCAGTTCAGTAAAACTCCACAGTCAAGAGCAATGGCTAAAGTCAGGCAGGGCAAGCAAGTTACACATTTTGCTGAAAGACTGCCTCAATAATTAAACGTTATGCAATGAAGTGGTAGAAATTATGAAACAGAAAAGGCTCAGGATGAAGCATGAGACTGCATTAATGTTGAATGTATGTTTTTGACCTTGTTTTTTGAAGATGACTGTAATTATCTGTTTAATGACACAGAAATAGTCTCAGCAATTATTAACTAAGTGCCATCCCCACAGAATCTAGCAGGTTCTATAAAAGGAGGCATTTCTTTGGCCTACACAATTGCTACCCCTTAAACAGCTTGCTGCTGTTAATTTACCCATCCCTGTCCTACCTTGAACCTTGTAACACCAAAAAGGCTTAAATAAGAAAATCGTATAACCAAGACTTGAAAAATTTTTAATGTATTGCCTAATATCAGTGGTCGGCAAACTGCAGCTCGCAAGCCACATGCGGCTCTTTGGCCCCTTGAGTGTGGCTCTTCCACAAAATACCATGTGCAGGCGCGCACATACAGTGCGATTGAAACTTCGTGGCCCATGCGCAGAAGTCGGTATTTTGTGGAAGAGCCACACTCAAGGGGCCAAAGAGCCGCAGGTGGCTCACGAGCCACAGTTTGCTGACCACTGGCCTAGTTTAAGGCTTCATGAAAAAATTGGGTAGCAACATGATATAGTGAAAAATAAACTAGGCTTAGAATAAAAAGATTGAATGCCCTGGCTGGGTAGGTCAGTTGGTTAGAACATCAGCCTAATGTACCAAGGTTGCAGATTCAATCCCCAGTCAGGGCACATACAAGAATCAACCAATAAATGAATAAATAAGTGGAACAACAAATCGATGTTTCTTTCTCTTTTCTTTTCTCTCTCTCTCTCTCTCTCTCTCTCTCTCTCTCTCTCTCTCTCTCAATAAACTAAAAAAATATTTTTTTCTAGAATAAATAGATTGAGTATGAATTCTGCCTTGGAAAACTGTAGTTTTATGACACTGGGCAAATCACCCATGGATCTTCTCAGCCTCATTTTCTTCATCTGAAAATTGAGGCTAATGATAGCTTACAAAGGATTTCTGTAAGTATTCAATTAAATAATAGATGTCAGGGTATTTAGTACCTGGGGTTTGGAACACTGCAGAAACTCAATATATCCCAACAGCTTCCCTTCGACTCCTTATGGGAAAGAGGCATGGTGCATGTTGTGTGTATGAAAAATATTTAATAAATATGTATTTATTATCATTTAAAATACACCTATGCTGTGCAGAAGCTGGTTTTGAATCAGAGTTTATACCACGGATGCATGTTAAACATTTTTACAGATGACAACTAACCTTTTGAAAATACTATTAAGCTTATATGATCAAAAATTCTACCCAAATAAGTAAACAGCAGTAAAAAAAATCTTATTAATGACAGGCAGAGCAGCTTAGTTTGACAAATCAGACATAAGCTTCACCATCACACCCTCTGCTGAACAGTGTGAGGGGAAAAAAAAGCACTCCTCTGCCTCTTGGGAAATTTAATTGTCCTGATCCTGGCAGGAAACTTATATTTATTTACAAAACAGCATTCTCAAGGGAATAGTTTATATAAAGATTATGGGGGGGGAAATTGCAGCATATGGCTGGGTTCTCACTTCTTGCATTGGTTTTGCCAGAGTCCTACCCAGGGCTGGCCCCTCTCCAGGCACTCCCAGCAGGGCTGGTTCAATCTCAGGAGCCCTTCCAGACACACTGCATGACTTCCCATGTATGGGAAGTTTCCCTGCTTCCTGCTCATGTTTGAATCTCCATCTGCCAGAGTAAGGGAGCCGGCCTCACATCTGGTTTGGTCCCTCATCCCAGGCTTGGATAATAGTAATCAACGTGCGTGTCTCCCTCGTTCTCTGTCTCCATCTTCCCATTCCGTATTTTCCCTTTCCTCCCTCTTAACACATTTCGTACCACTCAGGAGTTTTCTCGTGTTTCCGCGCCATCTCTTAAGGACCGCTCTCGAGTGTTCTCGTTTTTCACACCCATGGAAAAAGGTGCAAATCTAGATACTTATGTAAATTTTGTTTGGTCCCTCTTCATAGAGGAAAATGTTTTACGCAGTACCATACGTTAAAAAAGAACTAGGAACTTTGTTTGTTTTTGAAAATAAAAATGTTATAATTATTGAAAAACAACACCTAAAGTGCATTATGATGATTTAAATAATGTGCAGTTTGCCCAAAATGTGCGGTCCCTGGCGTATGTCTTAGAGATTTCTATGCGGTACGCAATGTGTTAATTTCCATCTCCCACCCAGCTCCATGTTTTTTAATTTCTCTGTGTTTCTCCCTCTCTCTACACATACACATCTCAATAACATATGTACTGGAAACTAAAACAGCAAGTGCCATTCAAGAGACCCTATGAATTTAGATTCCCCTCCACTTCTGACTTTTACTCACCCAGTGCCATCTCTGAACCAAGAGAGTCTTCAACCACATTCCCAGGTGGGATGGGTAAAACATCATCATCAAAGCTGATGAGGTCGATGTCCCCCAGAGGCTTGCTTTGCAGACCTGGGGCTGCGGGGTTGGCTGAGGCTCCTTCACCCAATGACCTGAATGCTTTGGCTTGTGATGCCACTGGGGGTCGGGGAGGAACAGTGACTGGTTTCAGCAAAGCGGCAGGGCAGCTGGGGTTTTCTGAGGAAACCGATTTCTTCGGCAGCAAAGGTCGAGGAGCAGGAGTTGGGACTCTCTTCCTGCCATCAGGGTTCTCAATCACAGGCCCTCCCCCCAGAGTCTCATGATTAACACTTCGTGTAAGGCCAGGGTTTGGTTTCTTTGGCAATTCAGGTTTGGTTACTGGGATGCTCCCTACTTCTTGCGGTGGAGAGTGTGGGGTGGGCCCTTCCCCTGAGGCCACCTTGCGTCTGTTTTCACTCCAGGAGTCCAGTTCTCCAGAAGCTCTGTTAGCAGCTGGTTTGGGAGCCACAGAGGGTTTCCCTGAGGGAACAGCAGGCCTGGGGGGGAGTGAGCGGGGAGCAATCTCTGGTTTCTTGGGCAGCTCAGAAGTTTCAGTATTTGTCTGACTATCCAATGCTTTGATCCTTGAAACAATACTATTTTGGCTTCGTTCTGTGTTCATAATGTTCATCCCTGCCTGACTGTCCAAGTCGTTGGTATTGTCCAACAGAGACTGGGGTTGGCTTGGGGCTGACTCCTCTTCGGTGGCCGCTGAGCTGATTTTCTGGAGATTCTGTCCTTTAATGTGAGAATCTCTGGCTACTGGTCTGAGGTTGCTTTTTGATCTTGGTTTTGGCACTGGACATCTTGTAGCATTGGAGTTTTCTGGACAAGTGTGTTCCTCAGAAATGTCAAAGACTATTAAAGGTGCCACATTTGTGGGAAGATCACTGGCTGAGACCCCTGGGGCAGGCTGAAGAGGTTTGAGAGGTGCCTGCAGTGCTGATAAGATCAAAATGAACAAAAATAAGTTGCAACATTATAATTTAAAAGAAAAACATAATAGAAGATAAACAGATTTTTAAAGATATACATGTAGAATAGCAAGAGAATTTGGTTCTCTCAATTAGTAAAAAGTAATTCCCAAATCAATGTGGAAATGTTTATACTCAGCTTTCTGCAGTGTTCAAATTATATTTATTCATATAAGAAACATTCATTTTGTAATAATTTAAAACACTGTTAAATTTCTGATTCTCAGTAGACTTATCACAAAAATCATTTCTCTCTCGCTGTCAAAATTCTAATGATTCTTGCTTTACTTTTCCAAAGTAACTTATTTCCGTCTGTTATCCTAATACAATGCATTTAAAAAGCCTAACAGGGCAAACACCTTTAGCATCCTATCAAGTTTACATTGCTAAATATAACATCCTTCTCGGTGGGAATAAAGGGCATCAGCAGTAATACCAACATGAGTTAAAGGATGTTTTGTGTTATGAATTAGGGTGAGCCCAAGGAAATGGGGCTTTGGGTCCTGAGAATGAACTATTATAATCATAGCAAATCCAAATAAAGAAAGCACACATGATCACACTGACTGGGAGGCAGAGCTCAATAAATTATGTGTGAATTGAAAATTATTTTTAAGACTAGAGCCTACTGATTACTTTCCTAGAACCAGGTCAGAATTAGGGGAGACAAATTACTTGCATTACTTTGAGGCAGGTGGTTGTCTATTTCTTCTGAAAAGTCAGTCTGAGTTGCAGAAGTAATAGTGTGCCTTGGAGAGGCAGCAGCATTATTGTTATTTGTAGTATTAACTTGAACTTGGTTGATTTCTTTTATGACTTGTTCATAAGATGGTGGGAGCTACAAAATAAAGAATGAAAATGTTAGACATCTATGGTTGACAGCCAACATGTTAACAGTCTCACTGTTCTAATCTTTGAATTTCATTTTAAAAATAAAATGTGAAGAGATAACAGGGTACTTATTCACCTCAGCAGGAACCAGCTCCCTGGGCCTCCAAGGGCCTGCTGCAGAGGGTGGGGGAAATGCCAATCCTGGGGCTGGGGCTCCTGGAAACCACGAGGCTGGCCTCAGTGGCTCAGCGGCCACAATGGTGATCTCCGGGCGCCTAGCAGACAGAAGCCTCAGTGAGATTTTGCAAGTTGGTAACACGCTATTGTCTATTTGCAAATGTTCAAAGCTTCATGAAAACAACTACCACCCAAACAAGTTACATAAGAACTACCGCAGTCACAGAAATGACCTGTGCAGTCTCTAACAGTACACCCAGGTAGGCTTCAAGGGATCAAATGGCAGCCATCCTCTATGAGTTTGGGCACAAAAAGTTAGAGATGTACCCTAAGCACACTTAGCTCTGCCTTGGTTGATAAGAATATGGACTAGGTAAGGTCCATACAAGCTCTTCATTCCAGGGCTCTGCTATCTAGCCTATAGACAAACATAAATATACCATAAGTAGAAAAGTGCATGGATCAAACAGAATTGTTTAGTTTTCTGTTATTATAAAGTATAAACTCAAAAATGATACCATATAAATGGAATACCTTCTTCCTCCTCACTCTACATCTGTCCCAATTCCAAGTTATCTTTAAGTACGTATTTAGAGTTCACATGTTCATTTCTAGACCCTGATGTGTGTGTCTGTGTTCCTTGTCAGTTTTGTACACGAATTTGATGATTATTCTTTTAACACTGAGGAGCCATAGTAATTTAGGCATGGCTTCTTTCATAATTTTCTTAACCTGATTATACAGTTTCATGTTTAAATCTTACCTTCAACCTGACTTCCTAACAAATACCAACTCTGAGCTGATCAATCACCTCTCTGAGCCTCAAAAGTTTCTGTTCTAACAAATAATGACGAGGATACCTGCTCTTCCTTTTTCTAGCACTCTATGCCAAATAAAAACAAAACCAAAAAGCACTATCATTATCAAAACTGTGTATAGCCTGGCTGGTGGCTGAGCATCAACCTATGAACTGGGAGGTAAGAGTTCAATTCCTGGTCAGGGCACATGCCCGAATTGCGGGCTCATTCCCTAGTGTGGGATGTGCAGGAGGCAGCCGATCAATGACTCTCTCTCATCATTGGCATTTCTCTCTCTCTCCCTCTCTGAAATCAATAAAAATATTAATAAAATAAACACCCTCCCCCCCCGACCCCATGTATAGACATACTCTCATGCTAGCTTGTGAAATGGCGGAACCTGCTTATTAATTACATTTGAATGGCAGTACCTAAGAACCTCTGCTTATAGCTTTTGTTTAACTAAATAATGAGTTACTAATTAATAAATTTTAACCACTCTACATGCATTAATCTGTATAACAACCTTATGAGGGAGGTCTGGTTTGTACTGCTTTAATGATGGGGATATTGAAGCGAAGAAGGGTTACATAGCTTGCCAAGGTCACATGGTGAGAAAGTAAAGTCATGATTTGAACTTGCATAATGTCTCACTCTAAAGTCCTTGTTTTTTATTCCCAGGTGCCATACCCTAAGAAATCTGAAAGCATGGAAGCTGTTTTATAAAAATCTATCCATTTATCCACCTGCTAATCTTTCCATCCATTCAGCCCTCTATTTGTCCTTCTTTTTGTGTATTCAGTGACCTTCTTCCCTTTCTCCAGCCAACCATCTTCTAGCCACTTATGCATTCAGCTATCTATCCAGCCTGCCTGCCTGCCTCTTTTCTTTTCTTTATCCTTCCACTCAATTTCCTATCCTGTCATTCATCATTTATCTATGCAACATGTACTAAGTAGCTATGAGGTACAAAGCACTCCTTTGAAGCAGTTCTGATAATGCTTTATATATAGTAGTTGCTTAATAAACATTTTCAAATTGATGTCAGTAAATAATTAGTCTCAAAGAACACTTTTAGGCTTGTATTGCTTCTCCTCTCAAGCAAAGTCTCTATCATTCAAGCTTATAGATTAATTCAGGAAATGTATTGATGAGGCAGAATGTTGTAATACACTGCTTATGAAAGAGAAATATTTAACTTACTAACTGATAAAATTTTTATTTCATTATGAGCAGAATATATGCCCTCTATTATAAATATAACCATACCTCCTATCTCGATGAAGCTCACTCTGTATAGAAGTCCGAGAAGCTATAAAAGAAAGAATACATTGATGTAGTACAAAATTAGTATATTCAATAAAGGTTTAAATTTTTATAGGGTATATTATTGAAAAAATAGCTTATACTTGATATCATACAGAATTATGGATTTTTTTCAAGGATTAAAAATAACTTTCATTTATTTTTTGCAAATCTTTTAATCACATCTTATATTTCTTTTATAATTAGAAATAAATTATAGTTATTAAAAACCAGTAGCTAATGATATATTTCTATATACTGAATTATAGATACAGATATAGAGACATAGGATAGTGCCTTAAAGAAAATGTTTTGATAAGGATAGAAGAAAGAAAGAAAGAAAGAAAGAAAGAAAGAAATATAAAGGTATTTTATACCTGAATTAGGTTTAGAGGGAATGATATCTAAGAGGAACATGGAGAAAAAGCAGAATGTATGTATTTTAACAACCACAGTAGAAAAGCAAATCAAAATGATCTTTTCATATGGTATCAAGTTAAGTATAGCATATATTTGAATTCATAAGATAGCATAGATTCAAAAACCCTGCAAAGCACATTCTGAAGTTCTGAAAATAAGTTAATGAATGAACAGAGGGAAAAAAGATAGCTATAAATAGAAATTGCATGACTAGAGCATTATAATTACATGAAGTAACAATGGGCAGAAAACTTTGTTACATGTCTATTCTGATCTATGACTATACTTTTATAAAGTTTTTTTATAACTCTATTGTAAAGAGAATAAAGGTGGTTAAATTTTCATCAATTTTCTAACTTTTCTGGAGTTTTATAGTCTTTGTTTTAGTACCTAAATTAAAAAATAATGAATACAAGAACTGTCCAAATCACTTTTATAAACATATTTATTATAGCATATATTATTATATATGCAGCACTAACTTTTCCCTCAAAGCTTCAATCTCAAGAAGCTAGATCATTTAAAAATTTTCCAAATTTTATTTTAAAATTAAATTAAGTCTTAATCAGATGATCTGGACAATATGTCACATATAGGGTCACATAGTACACATATGTGCAATCCAGAATTATATCCCTATTTTCAAAGAGCACATTCTAAAGATATCTTTTTTTTAAAATCTTCCTACACTACCAGGTATATCAAAATGATTTGTGCATAAACAGGAATTTGTCTCAGATATTAACTATTTCTGCCAGTTGCCCTCCTATCTCTCCAATACTCTGATTTTTTCAATTCTTCTGATTTGTAAAGGTTGAAGATATGAATCTTAGCTTTTTTCCTCTTATTAACTTCTGGTTCTCTCTGAACAAGGAGACTGACAAAGCTGGGAAGACAGGGTAGAGGTGGCTGTGACAGCTGAATCTATTCTGGGCTGGCAAAGCAAACCCAACATTTGAAACCAAAACTCTTGGATATCAAGTTGGAGGATGTCTTGTATTCATATCATCAACTGGTTTGACTTCAATTTTTATCAAAAGTTAAACCAAGCTGAGGTGCATTTTGTCTATTGCAATGAAAGGACAGAGAGGCTAGAGCTCTGAGTGGTGGGTCTGATTGGTAAGGCTGGTTTCATTAAGTAAGTGGCTCATTAAGTGTGCTACAATCACATCACCATCACCACTAAAGCCAGAATCAGCAGGCACAGCACTTGTACATGACATCATATTATTCGTCACAAACATACCTCTTCCACGGGGCATTTTTGCTGTGCACTATTCATGAGTGCTAAGGGAAAAAAAGAAGGGGTTATAGAAGAAGAAAGGGAGAAAAAAGAGTGAACCCAGTTGCTTATGCTCTAAAAGGAATTTGAGAGCAAGACTGTCTCACCATGCCACTCTGCATACTTCTACAGAAAGGAAAAGTTGATGAACCATAGTTTCAGGGAGTAAAGAAGTGTGCTGTGGCAAAGACATGTCTGTACAGACCAGACATCCACACTCATAAAAAAATAAAATAAAAAATCTACCTATAGTTTTTAACAACAGTGCAAAAAATATCCCTAAAAACCATTCTGCAAAATCAATTTGCGACTTCAATAGGAATCAATATTAAAGTATACATAATACTTAAAAGGAAATTCAGTATTCAATTTACATCATTTTAAATCAGTTGCTTGTTACTTGATTCAGCCCTTGCACACCACAGGCCATTAGTAAGAGGGCCCCCCCCCCGGTTAGCAGAGTGGCATTCCCACTCTGGAAGTAGCAAATGAGGGCAAGAAGGTCTCCCAAACATAACTCACAGATCTCTGCATCCTTTCAGAAGCACTGCCTTCTCCTTTCCTGCTCCGATTTTTTTTCACATTCACTCATTTGTGAAATTTCTTTTCTCTCTTGATCCCCATAGAATGACTGGCTCTTTTTGTAAATATTGAACAAGTTTAGCAGCTAGAAACACTTTAGATGTTCACGGCAGGTTTTCGTGTAGTATTTCACACTCTTCCGGCAAATTTCTTAACCACCCACTTAATCCATTCTCACTTTCCCAGATTAAACAGATTTGATGTAGTTGTTGCCAGGAAAACTGAATTTGCCACCAAAGCCCATACAGACAGGGCTCTTAACCCCTGCCACAAACTGCTGCTAGTCTCTTGTACATTTTGGATTAAACCACAGTATAAAGGCAATATGTTCAATTAAAGCTGTTGTATCATTTTGAAACTTTTCTAACTCATATAGTTAAATTCTAAGTACAAAACAAATTAATATTCAGCTGTTCATAAAATACTGAGACCTGGATCTGCAATATTAGTACTAATAAAGACTCTGCCTATGCTCCATCAGGATCATAAGCATGAAAGGACCCTCAGTGATCATCCTACTCCAACCTTACAGATGAGGAGACTGAGACACGGAGAGGTTAAATGGATTATCCCAGGGCCTACAGCCCATTACAGGAAGGGCTGGGGGCAGTTTGTTCCCTGAAGCTGTTTAACTCCTTGTGGAGCCAGGAGAGCTGGATGCTTCTCCTGATTCTCAATAATTCAAAAATATCGATAAAATGATGGTCAGAAGAAATAAACACACAGAAGGATCATCTATATATATAAAAGCCTAAGTGACCATCTGACCAGTAGCTATGATGTGCAATGACCACCAGGGGGCAGATGCTCAACACAGGAGCTGCCAAGCAACAGCAACTTTGCAGAGTGCCCTCTCACACTCTGGGACCGCTCGGGAGATGTGGGACTGCTGGTTTCAGCCCGATCCCCACAAACCAGGCAGAGGGACCCCATCTGCTGGAGGACCCCGCTCACTCAGCAGACATCCTTCGAGCCCTGGCGCCACTCCAGGTACATCCAGCCAGGGAAGGACCATGGGAGGTTGGCTCCAGGGCATGTCCAGCTCATCTCTCCCAGTCCCGCCCCATGGGCCACCTTCTAATTAATTTCCTTTCAATGAGCATGGACCCATGCACTGGGCCTCTAGTTATATTATAAGCTTCCTTGCTATAATCCTTACCAATGAAAATCACAATAATAAAATATAACTAACTACATTTGCTTGAGACAGGGTATGAACTAGATGCCTATGACATGGTAACAAGAACATCCATGCAATGGAAAAGCTCATGGCCTCAGAGTCTCGGGAAATCTAGGTTCACATCTAAGCTCTACCTGATGGAGCCATTTAACCTCTCAGTGTCCCTACCATGTATAAAATGAGGTTAACACCTAGAATGTAGATCATTATTTTATAATGTATAAGAACAGTTCCTGACTTACAGTAGGCAATGAATATTAGCTATTTCTGAATTTCAGAGAATAATTTTTCTTTTAAAAAGTTAATGAAAGGGAAAGCATGAAATCCTAGATATATCCAGTTAGAATATTTTATGATCTTTACCCAAAATATTTAGGAGTCATAAAAACAAATGAAAAAAGAAAGACCTAAGGGCTTGATTGAAACCATACTCATCATGAAAGAATTTAAAATACAACCAGCTAAGGAACATTGCCTTAAAAATGTGATAGTTTTTCTCCTTGGCAGGGTTAGATGATTATGTTTGGGATAATAAAGCAAACATTTCAATGTATTGAGTAAATAAAAAATTTCTTACAATTTTTTCTTATAGAATGAGCAAAAGGGTGCCATAATTATTCTTCATTCTGTATTTACATGGCATCATGTGAGAATCTGTTTGTCTTTTTATTTAACACTAGGGGCCCGGTGCACGAAATTCGTGCACTGGGTGTGTGTGTGTGTGGGGGGGGGGAGTGTCCCTCAGCCCAGCCTGCCCCCTCTCACATACTGGGAGCCCTCAGGCGTTGACCCCCATCACCCTCCAATCGCAGGATTGGCCCCTTGCCCAGGCCTGACGCCTCTGACAGAGGCGTCAGGCCTGGGCAGGGGACCCTCGTTTCCCCCCATCACTGGTTCTGCCCCCAGCCCAGGCCTGATGCCTCTGGCCCAGGCATCAGGCCTGGGCAGGGGACCCCCAGACCCCTCCCACTGCTGGCTCTGCCCCTTGCCCAGGCCTGATGCCTCGGCCAGAGGCGTTGACCCCCATCACCCTCCAATCGCAGGATTGGCCCCTTGCCCAGGCCTGACGCCTCTGACAGAGGTGTCAGGCTTGGACAGGGGACCCCCATCTCCCCCCGATCACTGGCTCTGACCCCCGCCCAGGCCTGAGGCCTCTGGCCCAGGAATCATGCCTGGGCAGGGGACCCCCATCTCCCTCTGATCGCTTGCTCCACCCCCCGCCCAAGCCTGACGCCTCTGACCCAGGCTTCAGGCCTGGGCAAGGGGACCATCATATCCCCCCAATCCCCAGCTCCGCCCCCCCAGCTCCCCGCGGTTGCAGGCTCTGGCCCTGCCCAGGCCTAATGCCTCTGGCCTGGGCGTCCGGCCGGGGCAGCGGGGACCCGCAGCTGCAGCGGCCCGGGATTGTGGGCTCCGCTTTAGGCCCAGGCAAGGGACCCCTAGCTCCTGGGACTGCCAGCTTCAACCGTGCCCAGCTCCCATCGCTGGCTCCACCCCTACTTCCTGCTATCACTGGCCAGGGCGGCAAAGGTGCCTGATTCTC